TGCGATAATATTCATGGTATTGCGTGGGCAGGATACTGTCAGGTTGCCCAGGCCTAGACAGGAGAACGATTAGGGTTCTCAACCAAAGCCTTTGGTTCAAAAACCTGACCGCAAGGCAGCGGGTTTGGCGTTGGACTACAAGGAGTCCGTTTAAAGGAATAAGGGGCCACCCTCATTCCAACCCCAACCTGGAGGACCAGGAGGCTGAGTTTGTCTGGCCTCTAACCATTGACCAATCTGCTATGAGTGACTCTGAAGGTGCAAAAGCACCAACCAGCATAGCTCAATGGACCACTGAGTCACACAAACCATCGCACCACGGTAAGGTCCAGCTTTTGACAAGGTAAATCATGCAGTGCTCGTCCACAGGCTGAGGATGTGCGGTGTTGGTGGTATGCTGCACAAATGGATCAGAAATTTCCTTGTTGTTCGAAAGTTGAGGGTCCAGGTGGACAACCATCTAACCGACTGGCATCCATCGAGCAGCGGCGTGCCCCAAGGTACTGTACTGGGGCCGATATTGTTTCTGATCCATGTAAACGATGTGCCTCAGCGACTCCAATCACCTTGTGCGTTGTTTGCAGATGACTTGAAGGTATGGAAATTAATCCGCACACTCAATGATTGTGATTTACTTCAGCAGGACCTCGACCGCCTCTCGACATGGTCTGCAGGGGTTAACCTTCCGATCAACCCTGCCAAGTCGCAACTTATGAGGTTGGGTAAGTTTGAGCACAGCCGAACGTACACAGTGGCTGGTCAACCGTTGCATCCCTCGCCTTTCGTGCGCGACCTCGGTGTGCTCTCACGCTGCGACCTAAAGTCCATTGACAACACGAATAGGCTGTACCAAAACAGCCTACGGATGCTTTGGGAGCTCAGGCGCAGCTTCAGCACTTGGTCCGATGAGATTGCCACTCGCCTCTTCGTCTCGATAATACGACCAATGCTAGAGTACGGCTCTCCCGCGTATTGTCCCATCACCCGGGGCGAGGTAGAAAAGCTTGAACGGGTGCAGCATGTAGCCACCAGGCTGATTCCCAACTTACGAAATATGCCATATGAAGACCGATGTAAGAAACTAGGGCTGTACACCCTAGCTTAGCGTCGGCTGAGGATTGACCTCATCACGACGCACCGGATAGTACATCTGAGTGATTACCCCATGTTGAGACAACTGCTTCATCTGCGCACACCAAGCTGCACGCGAGGACACCGGTATAAACTTATCGTACCGAAGTTAAAGCGGGTCGCTTACCAACTCTGTTTCGAACGCAGAATGGTAAATGTCTGGAACGACCTGCTGAGGCACATAGTAGAGGCGAACTCAGTGTCCGAATTTAAGAAACGCCTAGACAAACACATTGCGGAGGCAAAATATAGAGAGTGCAAAGATAAATAAGGGGTATATGTCCAAGAGCGACGAATGATGCAGCTACACAGAGAAAGCTCTACTCGCTGCTTCGAACCAGTATTCAGTATTCATAAATAATGCCCATGTTAAGATAAGAATTCCAAATAGCGAAGAGATCTCTTTTCGAGAATTCGCCTCGGGCCACTACAGTAATAAGCAAAGCAACATACAACGCGATAAGCTGCTGTCAGCTACGCTGAGGACAGCTAAGCCAAGAGTTTGAGCGGAGTCAGTAATTCAGATCGATGCCTAGGTTAATTCACTTAGGGTAGGCCTCGCAGTCGATAGTAAGCCGTTAATGTCCGACATCGAATAACTGCCGCGTGGCTAGGGCAGGAGAAACACTTGTACAAGAGCTCGCTGCTTGCACAACTCGGGCTGGGTCAGTCTGACGGAAACTGCTTCGGTTGTATTCAAAAGATGACTTCTGAGAGCCTTTGGATAATGTGGTGAGAGTAGAAGACGTTAAACGCATTCGATGCTCGACTTTCGTGTCCACTTAAGATCGAATGTTCCATGATAGTGCTGTTTATGCTTCTACCCATGCCTCTTCTTAACGACACTGGGTAATGTTCTGCTACACGTTTTGACAGACGCCTGATTGTGTGCCCGAGGTATCTTGAACCACAGGTGCAAGGTGTCGCATGTTGGGGATCGCATGGTAAGCATAGAACTCGAAGGTTGCAGATGGATTTCTGATAAACAACAGATGTCGATCGATAAGGTCTCTAGTGTGCGGGCAAGCGCTGCCTGTTGGCCAATCTGTAGCGAAATGCGCACCTTGAAGCCTGCTATTCTTACAGTGGATCGAAGGCTCCAAATATAAACTGATGAACCGTTTGGTTTAACATGTATTTGTCGATAGGGCCGGAGCAACGCTCTGTGGTTGCGTGTAAATTCATACTAGGATGCAAGTGATTATCGAAGCAAGATGTGGTAGGGTTGAAAAGTGGGGGCGGGATACAGTGAGTTTGTACATAATGACCAGACTCTGCCTCGCACCGTCGAGGAATATACTCTTTAATGATTTATATATATAAGGAAGAAAAAGCGCGTGAATGGGCATAAGAAGACGGGAAGATTGAGGAGGAGAATCCTCATCCCAAACCACCCAGCTAGGTGCAGCAGAGGGGAGGCCGCTGATTATACGCTGCGAGGATCAAAGTACTAAGAAATCGTGTAGAAAAGTTCGGGGTATTATATTACGTGGAGGGATGCTGTCAGGTTGTCCAAGTTTAGAAAGTAGAACGATTAGGGTTCGCAACGAAGTCTTTTGGTATAAAATATTGGCGGCAAGGTGGCGGGGTTTTGGCACTGGGCTACAGAGTTAGTTTTATGGTGCAAGGAGCTACCCTCATCCTGGAGAACCAGGAGACCTAGATTTTTTGGCCTCTAAACATTGAGCAAAGTGGTATGAGGGACTCTGAAAATGTGTAGTAGCTCGATGAATGGTTGTGGTGATACAAACAATCGAAGTGAGAAAAAGTCCAGAAGTAAGGAAAGGGACAGCACAACTACAAAGATGTGCGGGAATGAAAACCGTGTCCGATGAGGAAGAACTACATGAAACGCAAGTGCGAAACTAGGAGCTGCCGTAGCGTGAGAGTAAGGTTAGGAGCTCCGTTCAGCTAGAAGCATTACACATCCATCGAGGAGCAATAATACCGTACATCTGGGAAGTTTAGACGCTATAAACATGACACTAAAAATCGAGAGCGTACAGTATCAGCGCGGCGTTTATGTTTGAAGCAAGCCGTGGGTATTGGAGCCTTCACGAACACGACGCGGACTGGCCATCATCCGATCCCACAATCTCCTAAGCAAACCTCGCTTTACCGACAACAAATGGCAGTGGATTGTGATCTTAAACGGAGTAGAAGGGCTCCTCTACGGGCAAGATGACGTGTGTCCATACTAGATACACATAAAAACAGCCCTAAAGATGAGGGAAATAGGTGAATGCTTACTTGTTTTAAAGTCACACTAGCACACGGCCAGATGGAAGTGCGGGTGAGACATTTCGAAAGAAATATCTCATGGAAGCAGGTCCCCAGGAGACAGTACCATGGATGGCTGTATTACTTCCCTTGAACATTTGGGTTTATCATAATGTATTACATTTGGCAACCTTTCAATTTTCTTGAAAGACGCACCCAATTAATTAGCCCTACCCCACGAAAACAGTTTGAGAAGTGTCCTAGAAAATTCGAAAAAAGTATCCGTTCCATGCGATTCCGTCTGTACATAACGATCGAAACATTCGGTTGAAATGCACCTCGCACTGTTGAGGAATATGCGGTTCATATAGTAATTTAAAGCGTACAGTGTACAACACATGAGTAACTGGATAAAAGGTGACTTTATTTTACTAAGCTCAACCAAGGCAAAAATGTAATGTAAATTAATATGAAAAAGAGAGAGATAAAGCTGGATCCAGTTGGCACAACAGGTTCATCTAGCCCAGGCGCAATAGTAAATGCATGCGGTGAAATGGTCAAGCAGGACTACCATACGAATATGTAAAATATCCAGAGTGCTAGCTCTCCTGAGACGGCAAGGTGAATAGTCTGGTTAAACGCTCGAGGCATGCAAGTGAAGTCATACTTGTTAGTTACACAAACCTTACTAGATGATGCACAGACAAGAGCGACTCCCGAAAATTCGGTTGCATGGATCAACGATTACTCTAAAAAGGGATTCGTTGTGTCTCTGCGGCTGATGGCGCCATCGCCAGGGAACTGACGCTGAATGGTGTTCACATAAAAAACGGAATTGTTGTGTGGGCACGAGGTATGGCTCTAACGACAGAAGTAACCCATGTCATCTATCTGTCTATGACAACTTCCACTCTGTCCAAATGGGAGCGACTTTTCCACATTGACAGAATTGATCAAGGTGGTGAGGGCGCAGATTCTCGGACGACAGACATAAGGAGAATTGGTTGCGTTCACATCTATTTAGACTAACCACTGTTCAGTGGAGAGTAACATGGGGTCAGAAAAACAGAGTTATCGTTTTGGCTTTTCAACAGATGCATAAAAGGCGCAGTGTTACGGAGCAACAACAGAATAAAACGGCGTAATGCATCAAGCCCATTTTATAAGTTAGCTAGAGATGGAAAACATCACAACCGTACTTTTTCGGGTGTTTGTTAGCTGCCTAAAAATTCCATCATGATGAGTCCCCCATCACCGGTATATGCTTAACAATATGTTATTCCTAAAAATGCGCTTAGTAATAAGAACTGTTTGGTCTCAAAGTTGGGATCCATCTCGAGTGACAAAGTTCCGTTCTAATGTATTTTTGCCACAGTCATATCTACAGATGTTTGACGCAAACAAGGATGACATTAACGTCTGTCTGCTGTGAGATCGAAATACATCTAACGTTGTCAGCAACTTTAGCCAGGACGTCAACAGACTCCAATCTGTTATGCTACCGAGCAAATATGCCAATTCAGTTAGATGAGCATAATTATGGGGTATGTAATGTTCCAACCAATAGATGCTGAATAAAAGAGGCCGATATTACACAGACTGAGTGGACAAAACGGTAAGAGAACAGAACGTAAAAACGCGTTGCTCACTTAATGCATCAACCGAAGAGGGGTTGGCCAAAACGGTCTGCACGTAGTGGCTCAGTGAATTGACCAGTTCGCTAAATATTTTGATGGAATGAACACGCATGTCGTACGAGACACACATGTGTCTAAAAGAAAAATAACAGTTTCATGTCTGGAGTGAGACAAGTTCAGAGATTTAGAACGGTGCTTCGAGAATATTTCTGAAGTGCATGCAAGTGTTAAATTCAAGTCCGATGAAATGCCGCTTAATAGAATTGGTGGCGAAAATGCCTAAAAGAAGCTCAGTATGAAAAAACAACAAGCAAAGACTATGCTATCCATCAATTAGTGTTGCCGGAAACCGGTGTGCCCGATCCTGTTGGGGCGTCCGATTCGAAGTATCATCCACTTGGCAATCGAGATGTAAAAACCGCACAGACAATTGTTGAATAAAGTATGTCACAGCGAACGGTAAAGCTTCCAGTATGTTCATTAAATAAAAACAGTTTGACATTTTATTGTATTGCCTGGGCAGGTTGCTGTCAGGTGGCAAACAGCAATATAGCCGAATAGGGTTTTAAAGCAAAGCATTTGGTTTATAAACCGGGCCACAAGGCAGCGGGATTTTAACACTGGGCTCCAGAGGCAGACTTTTGGAGTAAGGAACCACTTTATTTTCAACTCCTTATCTGGAGGATCATGAGATGGAGTTTGTCCGCATTCTAATCATTTGTCACTCTGGCATGAGTGGCTCGGAGGCTGCAAGAAGCATCATTCAGAAGAGTACATAGGATGGTTGAGGCATGCAAAAACTAACACCACGTTTAGACCCAGTCTCGTTCTGACTTCAATCGTCTTGTTTATGGCGCAGATGTAAGTGAACCACTCAGCACCAATACTTCCTGCACCTGGTTCCGATCGTTTGACACTAAGAAGACCGATGCACCACCCCACCTATAACACACAAGACCGGGCAAAATGACTCAAGCACAGAATTTGTTTATTCCGACATTCAATCCCAAATTTTCAAATTGCATAAATAAAACACAATCTGTAAAAAGATTTGCAAAGGAAAAATAATGGTGTTAAAATTAAAAATTTTCAAAAAAAGGCAATAATTGTACTTAGTTAATTAGACTAACAGTCAAAAACAGTGATAACTCAATTTCAATATAGCAAGAAGAAACAACCTGTTAACAGAACACGGAATTCAGCAATTTCATGTAATCTCTTTAGAAGTTTACATAAAATTAGTGAATTAACATACAGAGCATTAGTTCCTTGACTTGCCGCCATCATAATAACCAATTTGAAACTGTCAAATTTTACTTTCCTACTGCGCTAAGACGTTGGCGATTCGGCGGTTGAAACCAAATTTATGCAAACATACGGAGTTCGTGACCACCCTCACCAACGCGTGATGAGACTTGTGATTACATTTTCAACCAAAATGCAACTAAAAGACAGCTGCGAAACAATTTCTTTTCTCTCCAGGCATGTGCAATTATGATTCAAGTTGATATTAGAATAACAAGCTGCTTCTAGCCTAACATAATTATGCCGGGTCGGGTCTGTGGGGTGTCGTTTTCAGTGGCCAAACTTGAATATCGCTATAGAGCAATTAGCCTAAATTCAACTGACTGGTCTATGGCGATGGCAAAGTCAAATTTCGCATCGGCGCCTTCTGTTTACATAGCTCTGGCTTCAGTCTTCTGGTTGCGATAGCTTCCGCAGTTGCCAGCAAATGCTTACTGGGTCCCTTAGGGACACGTTTTGGCACAATGTAAAGCGTCTTGAAAGAGTTCTTAGGTTGAACACAGTGTGCACTGTTCACAAGGTGTTCCATATTTTAGCTTCGGACTGTCTTAACAGTACAATGTCGTAGAGAGGCAGGGAAATGCTCGGCTATCCGCCTCGACAAGTGTCTGGTGGTATACCACAGGTGCAGGTGAAATGATATAGGACATACAATTCGGACAAGACCGGAATTTTGTCCTTGAGGCATTGGGTTATGAGTGGAGCAGTCTCGCTAAGGTTTGTCTGGCTTACCGCAGTGGACAGGTTAAAATTCAGTAGGTTAAAAAAGATATCACCTTTAAAATGAACTGAAAAGAAATCATCCGTCTTCCCACCGTCGTTGTCAATGTAAGCCAAGCTCGAACTATGGAACATTTCTTGAAGAATACGACAGGGTAACAATTATTTACCAGCGTTCTGATAATGAATTCTGTTATAAACTTCTCACTAGACGCGATTCTGAAACTGGCACTTTACTGCTACACAAACTTTGAGCCCAACCGAAGGGAAAAGCAGAACCCTAATGACCTTGACAAAATAACGTATTAACCGTGGTCAAGGAACACTGTACAACTATCGCGGACCTTGGCTGTATGTATGCATCTCTTACTAACCATCGACTTCTGGAATTGGAAGGTCGACTACCATGTTTGGTGGTTCCCCATAGCTTTGGCCGAGATGGCAGGTGGTTGGTAGTCATGTGCAGAACTTAGAACATTCCAGAACGTCCGAAATCAATGCGATAATCGTTAATAATCAATTAATCGCTAAAACAGTGGATTTTCCAGGCAATTCTTACTTTCTCCCGGACACCACCCCTCCTGAGATATCGTCCGAGGTATACAGTGAAAGCCTAGGATTAATTTGCAGTCTTCGAGACGGTGCTCTTTACTTATGAATGGAAGGATTTTGGTGAGTATTTTTGTTCGTCGCAATCAGCCGACAATTCAGATATGTCGACCAGCTGTCCGGAAAAGCACCAGACGGCCGTTTCGCCCTATTGGGGCTCATCAGTGGTGCGCATCCTTCGGTCCTCTGCGGAGGACCGAACCCATGACTGCTAGTGGCTCTTGCCAACTAGCCAGCAGCTTATGCAACTGCGCCCGTACGGATTCCACAAAATGCTATGTCGATTCATAGCTGCCGTAACCGGGAAGTCCTGACGCCGGAAGGCCGACCGCTGTCATCTGCATGGCAGGTGCCTGCATGGCAGTGGAGGATGCGTCGGGCTATATCGCATTTAGCTAACAATTCACGATAGTCAGATACCGTCCTCCATGGCGCAGTTGCATAAGCTGCGGGCTAGTTGGCAAGAGCCACTAGCAGTCATGGGTTCGGTCCTCCGCAGAGGACCGAAGGATGCGCACCACTGATGAGCCCCAATAGGGCGAAACGGCCATCTGGTGCTTTTCCGGACAGCTGGTCGACATATCTGAATTGTCGGCTGATTGCGACGAACAAAAATACGGTGCTCTTTGCCTGTCGGTCCGCCTCCTTAGCAGAAGTGCTTGAAAACTGGGTTCCGATGTCCGTGGTCTGGATTCCTTGCTCGAATGTGAGCAGTTGTCCACGACTTCATTCGGCAAGTTGAAGGTTTCCAACAATAAGTCGAACGGGAGGTCGATAGGCCTTGATTGTTCTGTGTGGCACAATGTTGGCCGTTACTGGTTCACATGCCGTGCGCATATCCGTACGCCCACCATCATGTCATACATGACATTCCCGTGCTTGTTTTTGTCTGTCCCTGGTGTCCACTTCGCTTGGCCTTCCCGATAGTCGTGTACTAGCACTTTCTGTCCAAGAGTAAACGATCGTTTCTTTGCTCCATGCCAACGGTTAAAATCCTGTTCCATTCTGCGGTTTCTTTCACCAACAAGGGATTTTGAGCGCAGTCGGATGATATTGAAAAGTATGCGGAGCTTCCGGTTCATCATATCATGTGCTGGAGAAACTCCGTCCGGCACTTGTGGATTCGGTGTTGATCGGCAGAGGAAAAGGAACCGGTCAAATACCTCCATACGTCCCTCCCCTCTTGATTTGTGAAGAGTTCACTTGAACGTATCGACAAACATTTCTGCCTAGCCATTCGACTGTGGGTGAAACGGCGGCGAGCGAATGTGTTGGACAGCGCAATGCTTCCAGAACTCTGTAAAAGTTGCCGAAGTGAATTGTGTGCCATTGTAAGTTACCACTGTCTCTGGACAGCTGAATCTGCTGAAGGTTTGGCGCAGTTTTGATACAGTGGCATTGGTGGTTGTGCTATCCATGAGAAATACTTCAGGCCACTTGCTGTATGAGTCGACCGTAATGGTGAAACTTCGGCAGTTGATCGGTCCTGCAAAGTCGACCTGGATGAGGCACGATGACGTAGTAGCTTTTGGCTATGAATAGAGTTCAGATTTTTGTGGCGCATTCAAGATATTGACGCACTTTTGGCAGCGTTTAGCTATTTCTTTCAGCTGTTTGTCAATGAAGGGCCAGTATACATAACTGCGGGCAAGCGCCTTCATCCGGTTGATCCCGGCATGCCAGGCGTCAAACTGCCGAATAAGGCGCTCCTGAAGTGACTTGGGGATGACCACTCTTTCCGAAAATAGTATGCAGTCGTTTACAATAGAGAGCGACTGTCTGCTTTAGAAGTACTGTTGCAACTCGACAGATGGACATGAACGTGGAAAACTTGTTTCGTGAAACTGTAACTTTCTTGAATACTGGGTCCCGAAGTGTTTCGGTCCGTACACCTTCTGCGGTAACTCGTAGACCGTGCAATGCATCACTTACTAGATAGTTGACGTCAGGTTAAATCTCGATTGAGGCAATGATTGTGTCCTCATGTTCTTGCTGGTGGGCACCAATTAGGGGTGATAGTGCACCCGCTTGGCCAACGGAAATTGTTGACTGGTAGTGAATCTCGAAATCACACCCCATTAAGGTAAGAGCCCAACGTTGTAGCCGGTTGGCTGTGTAGGCCGGGATACCCTTTTTCGAACCAAAGACAGCCAGCAAGGGCTTGTGATCTGTCAGAAGCTTGAAGCGGCGGCCATATAGCATTTTGTGAAATTTCCTGACCGTGAACACTATGGACAATGCTTCTTTCTCGATCTGGCAGTAATTCCTCTCGGTCTTCGTAAGTGTTCTGGCGCCATGGGCGATTGCTTTCTGTGATCCATCGGTGTACGTGTGTGACATTACTGCACCAGTCCCATGGTTTGATGCATCTATGGTGAGGACAATCTCTTTGGAGGGATCAAAATGAGTCAAAAGCAAGTTTGAGAACAGCAATGTCATGACCCGTTCGAAGGCATTCTGATGTCTAGTTCCAAGTTTGGCCTTTGGATAGTAGCTTGTT